ATCTTAAGCTAATCCGGGGGCTTACTCAGACCCGGCGGTTTAGCCCACTCAAATAGATCAGACCAGTCAGGTTATCCCAGAAGAGAGGGAGAACCACTCGTTTTCTCCAGGAGATGAGCAGGGAGCCCAGTCAGCTGCTCCTTCTACACCTCCCCCAGTCCCTCAATCTTCAATTCATCCTTCAATCACCGACCTGATATTAGTAAGGCCTTGTCCTGAGGAAGAGGTAGACCTACCTATTGTCTCCCCATTAGCAGTGGTGAGCCCAGTTAACGACATGGAAATAAGAGCTTCAGAGCCTGTTTGTGATTCAAATCCTGTAGACGAGGACCTGTCTCCTTGGGTTCTGTTGAAATTCCTTTCCTTTGGGGAATTTCTTGGTGTTTCTTTCAAAGGTATGGAGAGGGAAACAATTGATCTTCTGGTGGAAATCAAAAAGAGATTCATAGAGGAGAAGGGTAGGAAGGGAAGAAGGACTGATCAGGAGCTTTTTCGACTGGCTTGGGGTCTTAACGATAGGGTGGGTGCTTCCAGTAGCAAGGCTATGGGGAATAGGAGGCAAAAATAACTGTGATTTTTCTCATGTCTGCATTAAAGATTATATCCTGGAATGTTCGAGGTCTAAATTCTGGGAGGAGAAGAACACTTATTTGTTCTTTCCTTAATAAATGGCAACCAAATATTGTATATTTGTAAGAATCAAAACTTCAGCAGGTGGATATTTCCATTGTTCAAAGCATTTGGGGTCAAAGGTAGTGTGACTGGGTTTTTCTCCCAACTATTGGTATAGCGGGTGGAATGTTGGTAATTTGGGATTGTGACAACATTGAGGTTTCCAAAAGTTGCCTCAAGGAATTTTCAGTTTCTCTGAATTTCAAAGTGGTAAATGGGGGTTTTATAGGTTTGCTAACTACAGCCTATGGGCCAACTGAGGCTGGGGATAAGCCAAGATTCTGGGATGAACTTAACGGCATCAGGGAAGGAGACACCTCAACACCTTGTTGCATTGGTGGGGATTTTAATTCTATCAGGTTCCCTTTAGAGAAATCTAGTTCAGCTAGAGGTGGTTGGGGTATGAGGGATTTTGCAAATTTCGTGCAGCAGTGGGGTCTGATGGATCTACCTCTTGATGGTGCTAACTTCACCTGGACAAATAATCAGGCTGTCCCTACCTTGGTCAAACTGGACTGTTTCCAAATCTCCTCTGATTGGGAGGACAGCTTCCCTAATCTGCTTCAGTCTGTCCTCCCCAGATTTCTATCAGACCATACTCCCCTTCTTTTAAACAGTGGAGGGGTGCCTAGTAGTAGTGGGCCCTTCAGATTTGAACACATGTGGCTGGATGAGGAAGGTTTCATGGAGCAACTGCAACATTGGTGGGAGAAAATGAATTTCACAGGTTTGGCAAGTCACATATTCCATTTGAAACTAAAGGAACTGAAACAAAAACTAAAAATCTGGAACGAAGAAGTTTTCAGAGGACTGGAAGCTAAAAAGGCAGATTACTTAAAGCAAATTGTTGATTTGGATCTAGAAGAAGAAAGGGGTCCCTTGAGTGAGAACGGAAGGAAAAAGAGGCTTCAGGCTAAACTAAACTTTGATAAAATTGCCTTTCAAGAAGAGGTGAAATGGTGGCAGAGGTGTCGGAGTTATGGTTAAAGGAGGGTGATAACAACACAGCTTTTTTTCATAAGATGGCCAATGCCAGAAGGCATATTAACAGTATTAAGGCTTTAAAAGTTAATGGGTTTCTGCTGGAAGAGGAAAACCAGATTAAAGATGCGCTATTGTGGATTTCTACAAAGAAAATAGGGTTATAAGGGCAAGGCTTGATGGGCTGGTTTTTAACAGAATTTTGGAAGAGGGTGCTTCAGAACTGGAAAAACCTTTCACAGAGGAGGAAATTAGGGAGGCTATTTTCCATCTAGAAGAGGACAAGGCACCAGGCCCCGATGGCGTCACAATGAAGTTCTATAAACTAAGCTGGTTTTTCATAAAGGAAGATCTCTTGAAGGCCTTTTAGGAATCCCACTCCAAGGCTGCTTTGGAAAGATGCCTCAATTCCACCTTCATCACTCTAATACCCAAGAAGGAAGGAGCCTTAGGTTTGAAGGACTTAAGGCCCACTAGCCTCCTTGGAAGTGTTTATAAAATTCTTGCAAAAGTCTTGGCTTCAAGGTTGAAAAAGGTGATGGGACAGATCATGATGTGGACGCGTATTGGGAGCAGCAGCAGCAATGATCCGGTGTTCTCATCCTATCCAATTCGGCAGCAACAGTCTTATCCATTCGGCAGATTAGATTAGACAATCTTGTTATTCTTATCTTATCTTATTAAGTTAGTAGATTAGATTATCTTATCTTATTAGATTAGGATTAAGAGAGACTTATCTTATCTTATCAGTCTTATCTTATCAAGATAGAGCTGGAGGTCTCCCTATTCAGCAAGGAGTCTCCCTTAGAGCAGGACTCTTGTAATCTCCTATTTAAGGAGCCACTATTATTGAATGAAGGCATCGAATATTCAGTCAAGAAAGAGAGTAAGGAGAGTTGGTGATTTCTTGGACAAACCACCCCCCCTAGGCGCCAAGATAGGTTCATCAAGAGCAGGGAGGAACAAGGGAAAACAGGAGGTTTTCCCCGTGGACCGACCCTGACGAGATCCTATTTCGTGGGCCCATAACAGATCATCTCCCCTACCCAAGGAGCTTTTGTTGAAGGGAGACAAATTCTTGATAGTGTCTTCATTGCTAATGAACTGATTGACTCTTGAAGGAGGGAAGGCAGAGACGGACTGATTCTAAAGGCAGATTTGGAAAAATCTTTTGATCATGTCAGCTGGAGCTTCCTAGATTACATGCTAAAGAGATTGAATTTTAGCTCAAAGTAGAGGAGCTGGATCAAGGTATGTGTCACTACTCCCACTTTCTCCATACTCCTCAATGGGACCTCTTGTGGGAGGTTCAAAAGCTCTAGAGTCCCAAGTGAAGGGGATCCCCTATCCCCTCTTCTTTTCATCATAGTTATGGAGGCCCTAAGAAAAATTGTTCTTCGGGCAGCTGAGGGAGGTTTTATCTAAGGTTTTAAAGTGGAGGTGGGTAGAGACCAATTTCCCTTACTACAGTTTGCTGATGATACCATCTTCTTTCTTGATTCTTCAGCCAATCAATTGACTTCTCTAGGCTTCATTCTAAGGTGGTTTGAAGCTATCTCAGGTCTCAAGATTAACCTCTCTAAGAGTGAGCTCTTAAAGACTGAAGATGGACCACCTGACCCCACTCTGGTTAGCATTCTAGGCTGCAAGGTAGGGAATCTACCCTCCACCTATATTGGCCTTCCCCTGGGTGCCAGGTGCAGCTCTAAGATCTGGGACCCTGTTATTAACAGATTTGATAAGAAACTTTCTTTATGGAAATCTAAATACCTTTCTAAAAGAGGTAAGCTTACCTTAATCCGGAGTTTTCTTTCTTCACTCCCTATCTACTATCTGTCTTTATTCCAGATGCCTGTAAGTGTTGCAAGTGTCCTAGAGAAGAAAATGAGGGACTTCCTTTGGGCAGGTTGGAGGAACACCTTCAAATTTAACTTGGTCAACTGGAAATTTGTGTGCTGGCCTAGAAAACTTGGAGGCCTCGGCATCAGAAATCTCAAAATGGTAAATAAGGCCCTTATGGGTAAGTGGTACTGGAGGTTCAACAAGGAAAGATAAAACCTCTTGAGAAGGCTTATTGAAGACAAATATGGGCTTACAAATTTCGTTTGGGACTCTGGTCCTGGTCTATCTCCTAAGGGATGTGCTTTATGGAGTAACATAGCCTCTATTCTCCCTGTTTTCTTGAGGGGTATCAGATGCAAGGTTTGTAAAGGCAATTGCCTCAAATTCTGGCATGACAGATGGCGTGGAAACCAGACTCTACAGGAGAGATTTCCTTCTCTTTACGAGATTGCTCTTGACAAGGATGCTGTGGTTGAAGACTGTTTTGGTTCTGTGAATGGGGAGGCTATTTGGAGTCCCACTTTCAGACGAAACCTCAATGATTGGGAAATCGGTCCTCTATCTGAGCTGTTAAATCTAATTCAAAGAATCCAGCCTAATCTACATACTGAAGATGAAAGATTTTGGGCTTGGAGCCCCAGGAAAGTTCTCCCCTCAGTCTTTCTACATTATCTTGCTTCCATGTGAGGATACTGACTTCCCATGGGCCTTGATCTGGAATTCTCTTGCCTCTTTTTCCTTTCTGGTTTGGACTGCTGTTTTGGGTAAATGTCTTACCACTGGTCGGCTGCTCAGAAGGGGGATGCCCCTACCGAACATCCCATGCCCTCTATGCAATGAAGTTCCTGAGTCCTCCAACCATCCGTTCATTCACTGCAGCTTCTCCTCCCAGCTGTGGGATTTGGCTTTCTCCTGCTTTGGAGTCCAATCTTGTCTACCTGGTTCAGCCCTTCAGCTCTTGCAAGGATGGTCTCTTAAGGGTTTGAACAACAGGGGTAAATTGCGTTGGAGGATTTTCCCTTCTGCTATCATTTGGGCCCTCTGGAAGGAAAGGAACAGTCAAATTTTTGACAACTCTTTTTCTGATGTAGTTTCAGTAAAAAGCAAGGTTATAGGCTTTTTGTGTTCTTGGTTAAGTGTACAAGGGGCATTCAGGGGTGTCCAGCTTTACTCTTTTTTGCAAGCTGGATATTTCTTTTGTTGACATTACATTCCCATTGTACAGGCTCTCATTGTACTCGGGCTGCTACATTCATCCAAAATTCTATGAATGGTTGAGAACAATGAGGTATATGGTATATTCTTACAAAATATATGTTTGATACATGAAAACAAAATGGAGACCTCACACATCTTAAGTTTGGAAAAAGGTGCATTTGTTGCATGGTTTTGGTGGCATTTTATATTTTGGTAAAAAATCTGAACAACGAACTGGTTTGGTAAAAAAAATTCTGAAGCATATAATAGAAATTCAAACATGAGGCTCTTATAGATCTTTCATAAAGGAGGTAATCGCTTGAAATCTTCAATGTAGGAAGCCACCAAGTCATTGATATCAGAACCTGGGTAAAGAAATTGGATCTTTGTGATGATTCTCTTTATTACATAGCATTTTCGCCAATTAGTAAAAATATTCAGTTATGAATTTGATTCTGGGAAACTTCTGATTCTGGATAACTGTCACAGACATTCAATGAGATACAGAAGTTGCTCAGCAAGACCAATGGGAAAGTAGTAGGTGATGTGATGACACCTGCACCCCTTGTTGTTTATGAAAGCACCAATCTTGAAGATGCTGCCAGGTACTCTCTTTTCTTCTTCCTTTTTTTTGCCGGTTCAGACCTATTTTGTGTTTTGTAATCCAGGTGTTGAAATCCATTTACTTGCTTGCTTACCTGGAAAAGAAACCTGAAATTTTCATATTATTCCTACAATGTCAGGTTATTGCTTGAAACAAAATACCGACGACTTCCTGTAGTTGATAGTGATGGTAAGCTGGTAAGCTACATTCCTTGTACTTGTTCGTGGGTCTATTGTTTTTGCCCTTCCTTCCATCGTTAGTTTCTGATCTCTCTCTCTCCACGTCCACACTCATCTCAAATTTGCCACAGGTTGGAATTATTACGAGGGGAAATGTTGTTATACGAGCTCTCCAGATAAAACGTGAAATTGAGAAGACAACATAAACTCGATCCAATCTGGAGTTTGATGAAATTAGCGAGTTTCTTTAACACAATGGACTTCCTTGTGGGTTGTTGTCCCATATTTTTGTTGGGCCAACTATAGGCATGCTGAGAAGAGGTTAGGTGGTCGTCGCCAGTTTTGGCTCCAATACATGCTGTATTATTAACTGCGGGGATTTTGCCCGGTCTTCGATTATAATATTACGACTCTCTCTCTCTCTCTCTCTCTCTCAATAGCAGATTAGCAGGTGTATTCTGTCGTTTTGGTCAAGGTTCAAAATATCGATACAATAGGGATATATCGGCCTGTATGGAGGTTCATTTCTCTCTTTTTTTTCGTTTTTTAAAATCTGTTTAAAGCCTATCTATCTCGTGAACCGGGTTAAACCCTGAAACACTCTCTGTAAAAATGCATCGAAAAGCTCCCGATACAATATGTATCGAAATTCGAACCTTGGTTTTGATTACCAGGCAACTAATTGATTTGGGTTGGATGGCGCATATCTATATTCTATTTGGTAGTGAACGTTCTATGGGTGTAAGACTGATATTGTATGAATAATCTGTTTTTTTTTCTTCTGAAGTATTTTCTATACAGTAATATTTATTAATTAATACACTTTGGCTGGACTGGCCTGTCTAATGGCTGATGCAATAAATTGGCTATGTGCAGGCCTGCTGTAAACCATAGACGATGAGTTGATCAAAACATCTGTTGTTGTCCTTCAATGAATAATTTCCTTAATAAGGCATCCTGACTCAAAAGTTCGATGGAGAATATTGCACACATTCAGAATCCTTTTATTTTAGGGTCTATTCAATTTTTTGGATTTTGAGAGGGCAAAGTTGGGTTAGTAGGATTGTTTTTTATGGACCGAAATACTACGCTGTTTTTTTAGATTTATTTGAAGTTTATTTTCTTAGGCATTATTTAATACTTATTAACATTTGGATGGATAAAATTGTTCTTTTTAATAATAATTTTTTATAGCTAAAATAGTTATTATTTTATTTATCTAAGAAATAAGAGTATGGATAAATGCACTTTCTTAAAGAATAAAGACTTTCAAGGAAACTTTTCTTCAACTTTTTGTTTCTTTTAGGATTGCAATTTTTCCATTTCTCTGATCCCGTAGGGACCCACCCCGAATGGGGTGGTGAAGGGGATGGAGAAATTTTCATCCCCGTTAGTGGGGATAGAGAGAGAACTCCCCACCCTGTGGGAACCCTGATCTCTGCTAATATATATATATATATATAATAATACTTTTAAAACTATAGTTAAATACGTTTGAATATATTTGAGTCCTTTTTAATAGGACTATAAATTTTAATCATTTTATTTTTATTATTTAAATAAAATAAAAATAAATATAAAATGATTGACATTATAAAAAAACGTGAGGAATTGAGATCCCTGTAGGAAAAGGGATCCCCATGAGGACGGGGATGGAGATAGCCTTGTCCCCACTAGTGGGGATGGAGACTTTCACAGGGACGGGAATGGGAATGGCTCCCCGCCCTGCCCCGTTGCCATTCCTAGCTTCTCTCCTATTTTATACCAAAGCAAACACTAGCGCTGAAACAACAAAATCAAAGCTTTTGATTTTTCTATTTGGCCCCACCTTAAATTAGACGAAATAATTCTTGGTAGGCCACAACAATAATATTTTTAGGTAAACTACAACAATAATAAATCAAAGGCCTTGACTGGTTTTAAAAGTGAACTCTGATATCAATAAGGTATAGGAATTTCCATTCAGAAACGGTATTTTCGTCTCCGACAAAGGCTGATAAAAGGCTGTCCTTAGATAAAAACAGTATTGACAAATAAGATTGATGGAACGCCATTATTAGGAATATTATTTCTATAAAAGATTCTAACTCAAATGTATGTACCTTAAGCCCTCTTATGATTGTTTATCAATATATATATACTATGAATAAGTGGTTCGACTGATCCAATAAAATTTGGAGCAATCCAACTAATGAAAATTTCTATGTATTATTAAATGTTCGAAAGCATCTTACATATATAGTGTATATATTTAATATAACATTATATGCTTAGTATAGCAGCTAGAATGCTGAAGTTAGTATAAACAAGAGCCCTAAGAAAGGTCATTCTAGCTGTTATTCTTATAGAAGATCATTTCATACTTTATTTTCTTAAAAGAAAATTATAAAACTACAAAAGATGAAACCTAACATGTATCCATTGTCTCTATGTTCATAAAGAACAAGAGATAGATTCCTACTTAATTTTATTTATTCACAAATTATATACATCCAAATAAAAATAACTGAAGTCCAACTGTCCAAGGTTCTTTTTTTCTTTTTCTTTTTCTTTTTATTTTTATAATAGCTAACCTAAAGTCGAAATAGAGTGCCTTTTTTTTCTTTTTTATATATCTATTTGAAATCATAGTGTCTTTTTTTTTTGCAGAGATTGGAAAGGGAAAAAGTTCTATCATGAGAAGAAAATCTATCTTTTGTCAAGGAAGAAAATTATTAACCTTGCACATCTATATACCTAAAGCAAAGAGGTTACATTTGCATAAGGAAAGCTTGGAACAATTTTCCTATAGGTTACAAATATGTACTGTGCAAAACATTCAAAACATTGTATTTTGTATTATCTTGTATGTATTTGTCATGTATATATTTGTATTTGTACACTTTCCAAAGCATAATAAAATATCTTTTGGCCACAGATTATTTTAATTAGAAAGCCTACTTTTATACGAATCTACATACATTAGTTTGAATTGAAATATATAATATTGATCTAATTAAGTGAAAATTTTCCTAGATTTCAGCCTTCACCTACCAGCGTTAAGGAAGCAAGGCAACCACTACAAGTCTACAATCCATTTAAATCAAAGTGGGCACTGGGCAGAAAAGGTAGGGCGGCATTATTCACGGTTTCAGCCTAAGGCTAAAGGCTAAAATCACAATGGAGCAAAAGTGAACTCGTAGGTTATCATATAAGAGACACTGGATCTTCTATCCACATTTTTTTTTTTTCACTTTTTTGCTCACAAGACACTAGGTTCAAAATATATATCGATACGTCCGATATGCTGGTAGGGGCATATTAGATAAATTGATACCTTTTTTTTACGTTTTTTTTTCAAAACCGGTTCATGGGGGGCGGTTTACAGCTCCTCCACTCCCTGAACTGGTCAGACCCCCGATACACCCATTGTAGGGGTGTATCGAAGAGGTCCCGGAACGATAAGTATCGGCCGATACGGGTCAAGACATGTTGATACTTTAAACCTTACAAGACACTACCGCCATGTATTGGGAATATCCCATGAATGACAAATGAGATATTCTCAATGCACACTCATGATAGGAATCGAATCCAGCCAAAAAGACCATCATTTGGGGCAGGTTGTCACAACAAACCGCTCCTAACATCTACTGTTTATTTGTTGGTGGAACAACATTTGTCTATTGAGCAATAGTAAACAGGATAGAACATTACAAATTGTTCATCCATTTGCTTATTTCTTGCATGTTTTAGAAATCACATCATACACTGCATATATCATATGTGCAATATCTACACCGGTGGTGTGTGGGGCTCATTTGCACGGATAATTCTTCACTTCTTTGGATCCACTTCAAATGAAATAAGCATAAAATACATAATGTTGCAGGTGTGTGGTAAGTGTAAGATGATTCCCAAGGCATATACACTTTAGCAGGCAAAAAATAAAATAAAAAACAGAAACAAACATGAAGTTTATAAAATTATGGGCTGACAAGCCTGACAACACGGGTTGGAGTTAGGGAGCAGTCAAGAAACTGGCCTGGATAACGGGGACCAACATTTGGTAATAGACCCATCTGTTCATTGGTAAGGACCAAGGAGAGAGAATCCTATCAGGTGAGATTTCTAGTTTGTTTACACCTAGTTATATAGCCTATAGGTTCCCCGTGAAAAAAGATGGATATATTTTTTATTTGGGTGTCATGAGGAAAGAGAACTTGTCACCTCCCCTAAATAAATAAAATAAATATTAGTTTTTTGTTTCATAATTCATTCATTTGCTATAGCCATAGGCATGTTTTATTTATGGGCCCGACAAGGCAAAATCTCCACCAATGCAAATCAATTAATAAATCAACTCTCAGTCCTTCTCAGACCTCACCAATTATTAGTATACATAACAGGGGAGAGCCCACGGTATTGACAATTGGGCTTTTGATGCGTGCCCATTAACAACAGATTAAAAGGAAGGAAAAGAAAGGGAACCTCCTTTGGCTTTGACAGAGGGACGGGCTTCCCTATTCCCTATTCCCTAGCCTGCCTTATTTCCTGGTCCCCCCAGTCACGTTAGTGTTGGGTCATATCTGTCTCCTGCCCCGGAAGGACGGAAATGCTCGTAAAAGTGTAGCCCCAGCTCGATAGGGGATAGGGCTGTCGACTACGGACTATTCCTAATGGTGAGTATCCCAATTCCCAACTCCAGAGACAATAGTGCTCTATTATGCCTTTTCCAGTCGTATCGACGAAAAAACCCCTCAAAGTGCGGTGGTGACTGGTGGTGGGTTGTCCAGTTTCCAACTTTGCATAAGCATTTTCTGATTTTCACCCCTTATCACACACTAGACACTACCACTTAGCTGATACGGAACGGTAGCTTCAAACCAGAAAGTCCAAAGCCTTCCTTCCACAACATGGCTTTGGATTCAACTTTCACCAATAATAAACAACAGATTTGAGACTTCTACTACTACTAGTCTACTACCACAGAGTATCTGACATGTCCAGCTCATAAGCATAACCCACTTGTATCCTCAGACCTGAGTCTCTCAGTACATGAATAAGATGATATATATCGTGATAAGATGCCCAGACTCTTCTTGTCTTGTGGGGTCGAGACATCCTGTGGCCGGTGTGAAAGTTATTGGGCTGGACTGGATGCCTTGCCTGCTGTCCTCACTCTTCAGAAAGCGATTAGGACGCACGCCCTTGATAGATAATATCAATATGCACAAGTGAGAAGTGACATAACAAGCAACCAAAACCTTCCGGTTCTGGGTGATGGAACTCACTTTGGCATTGGGGTGAACAGATGGTGGATCTGGATGCGTCCTTCATTTTGTTTGATTCAACCCACTCTGCCTGTTTATGTCACCATCTCATTTGTGTTCTATAATGGGTCCTACTCCTACAGACCCATACACACATCGCGATCCCAGAAAACGACCTCCAATTAGACTGATAATGAAGTGCAGTCAGTCCTTCAATGACAAGCGTGCTCCACATCATATCATATATAACAAAAAGATAAATAAATACAAGTTGGCAGGCAGGAGATGATGGATCCAACGGCTAAAACAGTCCCCAGCGGTATCTTCCTCCTCTTCCCTCCGTCCTCCATGCAGGAAATAGGAAGAAGAATTTGATTTTCATAACGTATAATATCCACTGCGAGGGTGGTTTGGCATGAAAGATAAACAAAGAGTCAGAAAAAAACTTCATTGGATTCCACTGAGTGAAGCAGCCGCATACATGATACATGTAATTGTTTTTTTCTGCCGTAATATAACTAAAGAAGGATCCAGAAAGAAAGAAAAACCGTCCACAAGGAACAGAAAAACAGTCCACACCACTACTTCGGCCGTCCATACCGAATATATCACAACGAATTATTAGAAATTTAGAATGCAAGGACGATTGGACACGCGCGCGCGAGAGAGAGAGAGAGAGAGAGAGAACCCACAAAACCAAGCAAAAAGATCATCAGCGGACCACCAGATAGGAATCTCTCTCTGAGGACCACGCCCACCCAGTCCTCTCTCTCTCTTTCTCTCTCTCATGTCCACAAGCACGACATCCACAACGGGTTACTTCCCAGGAAAATACCTAACTCCAGTCTTTTTTTTTTTCTCTTCTATAAATCTTTTTCGTTTATATGGTGTTCGTTTTCCATCTTCTCCTACTGTACTAAATCAAGGCAATAGTAATTGAGGTAGGCCAGTGCTGTTCCCTAACAGCATACCATCAACAACAAGAGATCTAAAGTTCCAAATCTTTCTATTCATATATACTTCTTTTTTTTTCTTCTTCTTTCACAAAAAAAAAAAAAGATTACCAGAGAAAAATAAAAGAAGAAAGAAATTCGAGGATTGACTAACTTGCGCAAGTAAACAGCTCTCCATCTGCGTATCCAAAGCGGTCACCAGTGAAACACAACCCTCAGTAACCGGCTTTCGGTTACCTTGCCGGTCAGATTCAGACAGAACAAAAAAGACAAGACCAGACCCGTCAATCGTCGTCTTCTGAGCTTTCAGGATTGGGCGTCTGATTCAAGTCGGGCTTGTTGGAAGGCGTGGAACTGCAAGAGCTGAGATTGAAAGTCTTGTTGCCGCCTGTTGCAAGGGCGTCCACCCTGGCCCCGACCTCCGTAGCTTTCTTTCGTATGGAGGCCGCGGACATGTCTTGAAGTTCAGCTTCAGCTACGAAGTATTCCGGGAAGTTAAGCCGAGCAGAACGGCCGCGTAGGTAGAAGACAGCGGTGTCGTAGGCGCGAGCTGCGGCAAGAGGGGTGGAGTAGGAACCAAGCCATATCCTGGACCTCTTGTTTGGTTCCCTAATCTCGGCCACCCACTTCCCCCACTTCCGCATCCTTATCCCTCTATAAGGCTTCTCTGCTTTTGCCCCCTTTCGCCTTCCTCCTCCTCCTGTACTCGAAGAACTCGAAGTCGAGCAACACTCTCCTTCCATCTGAAACCCCCTTTCCCTTCTCTCCGTCCCAAAACTCAGACCCTTCCTAAAAACCCAAAAGATACCACCGCCGATAATGGAATCCGACGAAACAACTGGGGGATTGCCGTTCTTTTAACACCCACTGGAGCTAGCAGTTTGGCACAGCGAACCCTTCCTTTCCTTTGAAATTCCAGTTGGGGCTACCAGTGGAGGAGTGCCCTCTCTCTCTCTCTCTCTCTCTCTCTCTCTCTCTCTCTCTCCGGGGTTTCTCCTCTCCCGTTCTTGTTGCCTTAGCCTTTCGCTTCTCACAAGATTGGGTCTTTCCTTGTAACAACACCTGGATTATTTCCTTATCTAATATATTTATATATGTATATATATATATATATATATTTATATACTTACAAAGGAAAAAGGGTGAGAGCGACAGAGAAGAGCAACGGGGGGATGCTTTTTATATGTCAAATACATCCAATCCCTATAAAATTAGTAGGTATAATAGATGGATGGCCAGATTTGGATAATAAGGCAGGCAACCCGGCACCATTTCCTTTCAACCTGGACCGACTGCCACGTTGTCCCCTCTTAAACTAAATCCAAAATCCGCCGACATAATCCATCAATCTCTCTCCCCCTTCCTAATCGTCTCTTCTTACCATTGAATTATCATCAAATCAAAAGATAATAATAAGAAAGAAAAAGTTGGGAAAGATGAACAACGTTTCGTTGTGCCACTCTCATCCCAGTCGACTCTCTGAAACCAGTATGAAAGGTGTTTGTAGTTTTCGGTAGTCGCCACGTACCCGTTGAATGCCTGATGATGAAGCATGCTGGTTGCCGACGTGGACAGTTACGCTTCTCCTACGCAAACTCTTCTCACTCACACAACATTAATTTGATGGCTTCGCCTTTTTGTCAACATTATGGACTTCCCATCATTGGAGTTAAATTATTTTAAGTGCACCGCCTCTTTTTTTTTTTTTTCTCTCTGAACAAATTGCTGTAATTTCAAACCTTTGAGCTGCTGCTGCTGCTGGTGGTGAATGTTGAATGCTGATGCCCTGCTTTTATCATTCGTCCTCTTCTCCTCACTCTCAGAGTCATGGCCATATGGGTAAGAGTCCAAGAGAGAGAGCTTCTGTGGTCTTTATACTCCTTTTGGGGTTTAAGGGTTACCCCAAAAGTTGCCCTTTATCAAAAGTTACCCTATTGATATTGGTCGAGACACGACCATATGCATTTGTACTTTATACTCCTTCCAAACTGAATTTAAAGGTTAAAAATTAAAACACCAAAATTACCCTTTTATGATTTTTTAAACACCTTTAACATGTAAGAATGATCGTGTCTCTCGACCCTCAACTCTCAAAATATTTGGAATGTTTGGAATCGTGGCCGTTTTTCAAAAAAATGGTGTTACATCGGATTCTTATAGGCATTTCAATAAATATTCATATATCTTATTATTTGGTTCAGTCGATTATTAAAAAATCAGGCATATCTTAAAAATTGGGACCTCATAAATGATCGTGAATCATTTTCTCTAACGGTTGACTGATGTATATCTTACGTAGTATTTACCTGTCATTATATACATGAAAAATAGTGATGAAAATTATTTTACCAAACAGTATAGTATTACTCATTTCTTATGTGATAGAAAAGTTTCTTTAAAAAATGGGTCTTGAAAGTATAAACATCTTTTTTTTTTTAAATCGATCCAAAATAAAACACCCACACTTCCAAACACCATGATCATCTAATCCTAACCAACTGGAGGGATGACGTGTCTAATTCATACCCCGGCAGGACATCAAGATAGATAAATGCTTCGTCTAGTTTTCCTTGGGTAACAGTAACCCTTGAATTTTATTTTATTTATTCTTATATGGTTTTGCCACGTGGCATGATATTTTCAAACGGTATCTAACAGATGATCATCGAAGGTGGACGATGGAGTACTTTTAAGGGACCACCACTTAATCTACCACGTGGAAGACTCTAGGCCGTTTATTTTACATTCTGCCAATTGGTTTGGTAGGGGGAACTGGGTAAGAGTAGGTCGGTGGCGGAGGCAGATGGATCATGGATTGGGGGGGGGGGAGAGAGGGAGTTGGGGTTAAAGAATGACTTTCCGTCCACGCAATTACCATCGAAGGAAGTGGAGACAGCAAAGCCTAAGGGAATTAATGCCCCCATTGGGATGCTCCTCGGTCCAATTATCTGACATCTACATCCGGTCTTTTTCTTCCTTATATTCCAATTATATATTAATTAACTGTCTTAATTAATATTAGTTAAACTCAAAAGTAAAGCCGACTACAAAATATAAATTAACAAGTTTGATTTGTCATCCCTAAAAACGATTAAACTGAGCTCATTTCCTCCTCCTCCTCCTCCTCTCTCTCTCTCTCTCTGAATTTTTCTTATTTTCTCTCTTATTCTTATCAAAAACGTGATACTACTTTACAAACTAAAAAAAATCATTAAAGCTCTATTTGGTTTAAAAGAAAAGGCAAGGAAAATTACAAATCATCACCTTAAACTTTGGCATAATGACACTTAACCTCATGAATTAACATTCAATTCCAACACTTTGCCCTTATTCATTAGTTGGATTTTCAAAGAATGTTAATTTATTAAAATACCCTTTTAAGATTTTATGGACAAGGGATGACATTACGAAATGACAAAAAATAGACAAGGTAAAGTGTATTATCTCTTTCTTGCCCACTTTTCTTTTAAACCCTAATCTATCAAAACCCTTGCTATAAGAATGAAGAAAGAAAGAAATATGTATCTAAACAGTTTATCAAATATGCAAGGAAAAAAAAAAAGCAAAATGATCTCACAAATTAGGAAAAAGGATTAGGAGATTTAGAAATATTTGACAAGCACATGATAGTCATATAAGAATCTTTTTTTTTCAAATAAATTGATTAGGTGTTAATAAAAGGGTACAATGTTGAAATAAAATTTGAAGGGATAAATGTCATTACCCTAAAAGTACAAGGGTTAATATGTAGTTTACCCAAAACAAAACAAAATCTGTCCTTTTTGTGCAAGATGTAACACCAAACCATTAGCTACTACTAGGTAAACTAACAAGTAATATTAAGAGTCAAGAGATGTAGGCATACATGTCAATTATTAAAATATGGGTATTGAGTATCGTATCAAACAATTTGGATACAGATACAAATATGCTTTGAAAATCTGGATATAAATGAAAAATATAGATAGGCCAAGTAAATACATAAAAATTTCACAATACATTAATAATATTAAATTTAAGGTCAAATAACCATAAATAATGTATAAATACATAGAAAATGTATATTTTAATGGTGTATATGAAAAAAATATATTACAATTAATATAATATGATGCATAGATACCATGCAACTTTATTGATAATGTATCAATTAAGTATCAAAAATGCAAAACATATTTATCTTTTATATTTTAATTATCATATCAATTATTTATGATTTTACTATTTTTACTTTTTTACATTAATAAAGAGGTCAACCAAATATTAAATTCTCTATGTAAATTAAAATATCCATTAATAATTTATAAAATGTATAATCTCAACTTAAAATATATCAGATCTATTAAAATGTCTAAGATACATATCATATGTAAATTCATAATTTTTAATTTTTAAAATGATTATTCCATTATTATATTTTTATTCCTATAATTTTCTAATTAAAAATCTTTTTTTGGTATAAATATAGATTAGTAGATCTGATAGATTCAATTTAAGATTATATTCTTGAATATTTTGTAAATAATTTTTTTTCTAAATAATAAATATGATTTTATGTAATGTAAATTAATATATATATATATATATATATCATGTGCAAATTTATAAATTTTAAGTATTAAAATAATTATTCTCTTATTAATATTGGTTTTAAAATTTTTGAGATTCAAATAATATTTTTATATAAATGTGGATTTGATATATTATTTATTTCTATTATTTTATAAAATATTGGTTTTAAATATTACTTTTTTAATTTTTAGTTAGAATTAACTGTAATATATATTATTTATTGAAATTGAATTTAAATAATAAAGAAATAAAAACTTTATTCATTTACTCATAAAGAAATAAAAGCTATATAATGGATCGTCTTCTTCTACATCTTCTCTCTTTAGCCTGCCTCGTTGGCAATATGGGCATGCAGCGATTATGTGGCCCAGAAACGTCCCTATTACAACGGGAGTGGGCCTCTTGTCTCCTGTGGTCCATGTGTTTTAGTAGTGCCTCTCTACAGACAGTGGACGTACATCAAAACCAGCCACAGCATAGCGTCAGTCCCGTGCATCACGGCACCATCTCCGAACCCAAATGGCTCGACGGGAATGAAGTGCTCACTCACTGAGCAGGGCTCAACGCCTGAACCTTGCCACAGCGGAATGAGGAAACAGGAACTGATCATTTGAAAAAATCGGACCGGACGTTCAGATTGAAAAAACCAGGAACTGGTCATTTGATCGATTCCGTTTCACTTCAAAATTGCTTTTTGACCAAAAACCATTAATTTGATCAATGAACCGCTGGTCTAGGTGGTCAATCTGTCGACTTTAATAATAGTTTTTGTTTTTTGTTTTAATTTATTGTTCGAATGGCCTTTCATTTGGATTGGACGGTCCAATTTTAAAAACCTTATGAAAAAAAAAACACATTATATCTGAAAATTTTGTGACCAATCAACCGATATAATAAACGTATTAACCAATCAGTTGGGCAGTTACCACCATCAAACTAAAATAGAATTTGTATTTCACTTGTGAAATTTGTGGATTTTTACTCAACAATTTATTCTTTTAGTGAATGGAGTTACAATTTTGCTCCCTTTGCCGACGAAACATTTGTTTTTCCGTAGGGTCAAGATAATAACTGCAAAGTTTCAGTTTCAGTTTAGGAAGAAAAGAAAGAAGGGAAGGTAAAATGAAGGTAAGAAGGGTGATGATAATGTTGGAACATCCCAGAAAAGCAGTCATGTGGGATGGTTGTTGGTCTACCAACTGCGGCGAAGTGAACAGCCAAACCAAACGAGGCGTATTGCTGGATAAGTGGACTGTGGACGTTGACAAAGGCTTAGACTTTAGAATCAATTAATTAATTTGGCGGTGATGATACTCCTTCCTACTCACATGTCGTTTGAAGTAGTTATGTAACGTCACGAGTCGCGACAAGATGTTGGCTGATTCTTGCACCCAAACCCAAGACGAAACGGTGTCTGTATTTTTCCTTTTTTTTTTTTTTCTTTTGACTCTTGAGTTGGGCTTGGGCAAGTGGGCAGCCATGAGCCAGCCATCTTTCCTGTGGGCAGTATCCCAAAAAGAGGAGTGAGATATTAACTGTCTAGAAATGGCGAATTTCTTAGGTCAGCTGGGTATGGCATGGGGACAGTTCACAGTTCAGTTGCTTTGTGTATGTAACTCCATCCCAACCAACCACAAATTATCAGAAAACATGGAAGAAGAAAGCTAATTGAAAGTTGAAAGCCACCGGCACGTGCAGGCGTCCGGGCTGTAATTTTCGACAGCAGTGATTGGATTTGGATGATGGCAAAAATTCTTGTGGACGAGGACAATCCCCCCACCAACTACATCTACATGAGAGCAGATATCTTCTTACCAGGATATGCACAAGTGCAACAGAGAGAGACACCCTCCCGTGCTTAATTTGTTCTCATCGAGAAAACAGCATCCTCTAGATGGGCCAGCAAGGCATGGCCCACGTGCGGCTTGTACAAAGTACTGGCCGTTCCAGGCTGGGACTTTCTCCCGAGATATTTTGGGAGGTCGGCCTGAGCCCACATGGGCGCGTACCGTGCCACAGGTCAGGCTGGTATATAGACCAAGTCTTAGGCCAAACCAGCCATTGGACTGGGCCAAAAATATTTATTTAAAAATTACTAAAAATCTTAAAATTTTTATTTTATATGAATTTTGATGTATACAATATACAATAATTAAATAAAATTGAAAACAATTATTTATTTTATTAATATATAAATATATATAAGCCATGTTGGGCCGGACAAGCACATGAATGACCCGACCCAACCCACAGACCTAAAATCCCAACATGACCCATAAAAAACATCATGGTGGCGGCACGGCCCAATTTACACCTCTAACTATTGAGAATTAATAACAAAAGTTTTAGCATTTCAAAAAAAAACACCTTACCTTTAAAAATAAGATACGTAAAATACCAGGAAGTTCTTGAGTCATAATCTACCACAAAAAAAAAAGACCATTATCCATAGTTGGTCCTTGCTATATATATAACTTTCTAAATTCCATATAACTGGACTATGAACACCCCTAGGGATGGGTAAATTAGATATGAACCCATGACATTTTTTTTTCACAAAGTGGCCATCTCTGATTTGGATGGTCAAAGTTATGTTTTCACACTAGTCAACTCAAGATCTTATCATTACACCAAGCATTAGATCCTTGGATGGTCAAAGTAAAATAATCCAATAGTGCTATCCTCAATTCAGTGAGTAGCTCTCCCAATAAGCCTTGCAACAAATTTTTTTTTTCCGTTTTTTTTTCTTTTCGTAACGAGTAGAAGAGGTCAGGTGTAGCCCAACCCTGAGACTGACATCATCAAACACTATCAGTAACTAAGGCCTACAGGATAGTCGGAGTGCCAAATAGAACAGATATTAATATCAAGGCCAAGGTTAGAGGGGAAATCAGCTGCTTGATTTGCCTCCTTATACATGAGCTCAACTTTTGCATTTGATGTTTATCAGTTGGGAGATGTCCTGATTGTCCACAGTCACCAGTTGGAAGAGCATCATCCAGCTTTGGTAATAGACCACTTCATAAACGCTTCCAATCCGAAGCCCTTACTTTTCCCCTATGCCATCCCCTTGGTAGCCATGAGTTAAGTGAACTAACTGAATACCCTGGACCTTAAAAGACGTGGAAAAATGCTGAAGTAAATATAGATGGATATATATATAGATATTAGTTCCACATCGGTTTAACTCTACTGAAACATGGCTAAGGCTTCAAAGTTGACTAAAGCTAAATAATAGGTTCTGCACAAACATAAAGAAAGGAAACCTCCAATCAAAGAATAGATTGCATGAGCACGGATTTCATTAAACCTACGACTGGTGCACATTTACTTTACATGATAGAGTTGCGATTTTTTGCTATCATGTTAAATTATACAGATAAGATAGTGATAACTGTTTGAAAAATTTTGCTCAAAATCCAACAACAGATGTATTCTTTTACCTCTATAATTTACATACGAGGATAAAGATAGGGTTCGACCAGTTGGCTATCTTCTCTCCAAACCTGTCCACCAACAGATTACAAATGACCCTCAAACAGAATATTTTATTGGAACAGAAATAACTTTCCATCTCAATTCTGAATTTCCAAAAGACTAGCTTAGTTATGGAGGCTTTCCACTTCAACCCTATGACCTTCCTCCTCTGAAGAAGGAAAAGCCTCCACCACACATGATTCTTCATATTGATCCCAAACGCCATTACGGGGTGAACACCATGCCAAGCCAAGGCAGCCCATGCGTAACTCACCTTAAAAACTTTGAATTAGAGCAAGGCACATGTCTGAACTCGGTCCAACCATGTAGAATGGGACTGAATGCAAAAAGCATATGTATTTCACATATTCTGTATCTTAAAACTGAAATATACTAGTAAATAATGAGATTTTGCAATCCTTAGATACCTCATGCCACAGGCAGGGTGGGTGCACATCACGCCTTTTGTGTTTTGTACTGTGCTTCTTCATGGACCCCACCATGCCTACATGGTGAGGTATAGATGCAGGATTAGGATCAGGAAATGAAGAAAGAAATCAATTTTCTCCTAATTTCTCATCTAATGACAATTTTGTATTTTTTGGGTATTTCAGATTTTACTGTTTTTGAGTTTTAAAATTTATTTCCGGTTAAGTGTCTCAGGAATCACTGCAGATCACTTGCATTTGAACTTGAAAGAATTCTCCTTCGAGTCCACACCATTTTTTGACACATCAAACGTGGTTCAGGAGACTTGACCTGCTGCCCAGTTGTTAGGGTAAGTCTTCAGGCCCATTTTATCCCTTTTCCTTATTTTTTTAAAACATAAAAAGACTCAAAATTCTTTCATGCTCAAGAAATTTCTAGAAATTGCATCCTATTAGTACATAATCTAATGGAATGGGCATGTGTATGGATTGGCAAGGAGAAAGAGATAAGGAGATATGGCAGTTAAGTGTATGGAGAAATATAAGTTTGGGAGAATTGGAATAGGCTGTTGGATGCTTAGATGCCCTATTCCTTTTTTTTTTATTTCAAAAGGAGAAGATATACGAATAGACCACATTGCCCTTAGATACAAAACAACTCACACACAACAAGGTCCTATGGTCCTAAATCATCAGACAACACCTTACAGGTGAAGAGTGAGAATCCCCAGACTAGAAAAATCAACAAGCTCTAACAGCTTTTAAGGCAAGAATCAGATATATCTGAAAATTTTCTAGTTAGCCACACTTCATCTCTCCCCTCATCTCAGAGGACTTCTTTTATCTTGGTGGCTGGTCAATGCCAAGATGGATTAGTGTGGATGCTAAGATCGCTTAATGATGTGTTTTGGGTGCCAAGATTGCTTGATGAAGGCATCCAGCAACTTGGGGGAGTTGAGGGGTTCAATTTTCTCAGGCAGAGTTCAAAGAGGTGATCATTGATGGTTTTGAGGGTGGTAGTAGTAAAAGATGTTGGCAGTCTTGGGGAATGAATGGAGATCCTTCTTAGATGCCTAGTAGAGAGGTTCCTTAATTCAGATCCCAATATTGTCAACGTTGAAAGATGGAAGAACATTGAATGGCATGGAGTGGCTTTTTCAAGCAAGGAAGTTAGGTGCATGCTTATTTCTGTTCAGCTCGAGGAAAAAGATGATAAATCAAGAAAGTTTTAAGAAGGGAAGAAGAAGGGACTTCCAAGATACCCAGAGTTAAGACTGGATAAATGGACATCAATGGTGGGAAAAATTCACTTTGCAGAGGAAGCATTAAAAGATTTGACTTCTGCAATAGGATTTGAGACTGGATTCAATTTGCAGGAATCCTCATTGAAACAGAGGATGCCAAATTCATTCCTGCAAGGCTAGATACTATTCTTTGCAGGGGAAGCTTTCAAGTTGCAAAACAAGGTAGAAGGATGCAATCCAACTTTTGCTTTGTTTGATGCCACAATCAATGTTGAAGAGAAGAAGGGAACAGAAGACAGCTAGAATTTTGCAAAGGGGTAGGGAAGACGAACAGGCAAGTTGGTAGGTTGAAGATGAAGTCAAAAAGTCAGGGAGGGCTGGGAGCAAAATGTAATTTTGAGAAATAAAAGGGGTAGGTGACTTTGTAAATGATGGTTTAAGGAGGAATTTCTTTACCGGGCCTATCACAAATCTTAATATAAACGAGTGCTTTAAAAGGCATGGGAGGTGTACACCTGGAAGCGTGCCTCCAGGTGAGGCGCCCCCAAAACACCCTAAGGTGCATGCTAGAGGTGTTGATACCTCTAAGGCATATGCCTCAGGTGCAGGAGGCATACGCCTCATATGCCTTTTTCATGAGGCGTGCGCTAGATAGAGGTGTACACCTCATGCGCCTCATGCACACTTCATACAAAAAAGACAGAAATGGAACGTCTTGCATCACGCCTCTACGTTTTAAAACATGGACATAAACAAGCCCATAAAAGATTGAGATCAAAACAGATTTGAGGCATTAGGTGAAAGGTTGAGATCAATCGATAGGAAAACCATGAAAGAAACAACTCTCCTAGGGTTTTGGAGAGCAAGGAGACAGAAGTTGGAGTGAATGGAATTTATCACTTGCATTATTTTCGAGGTTCCGAGGCAAGGCTAGGCAATAGGAGGGGTGCCTTGTCACCTAGGCAATGTGGTGATCGGATTTTTTTTTTTTGAATAAAAACCATGAACCCTAGGGTACTTCCCTAGGTTCCATCACAAGCAGCAATCATCTTTCACCACTAATTATCTATAACCTTAATAAAAATTGTATACATTTCATTTAAAACATAGTACATCAACAAATTCATGAAAAAAATGGAAGAAAAAAAAATTCAGAAAATAGAGGGGTTGAGCCTTTATTTTTGTCTTAGAAAATCAATATGTGCTGATTGGACAAACTATTGAGTCCTTTCATGCTTATTAGTTTAGGTTTTGATGTCTTTGAGGATTCAAGACAGCATACATCTTGATTGAGCCCTAACAAAAAAGAAAAATAATTAAAAAACTAGTATTTTAACTCAAACTGAATAATATGTCTATTTTATTATTGTAATCTCAGAAATTTAAGAATATAAAAGCATCAAATAGCACCTTATTGCTTAGGAGTCAATCTACATGTGAACTCATCGCTCCTCATGTTACGCTACCTTTGTATTTCTTGATATTTCTAGTAATGTAGTGGACCCTAGAGGTGGTCTCTACTTTATCATATGATTGTGAGTTGTTCATGTATCACTTGGGGTAACAACAAGAAGCATGCACTCACTGGGTAATTTCGTCTTTCATTTGATTCATAAAACGTCCATGTTTTATCAGAGGGTTGTAAAAAAGTGTTGTGACCATGTGAACTAATTGAAACCCAATCACCTAGGCATGCACTCACAAGGTGATTTGGTTTTAAATTTGATTATTGGCATGTTCATGACTTATAAGTGTTGTGACCACATGAACTCATCGAAATCAAATCACCCAGTGGTTTGGTTTTTCTTTTGATTAATATCATGTCAGTGTTTTATTGGAAGGTAACAAGAAAGTATTTGACCATGTGAATGCATCACAACACATGTTAGGCTACCTTGGCATTTCTTGATTGTCATAAAACAATAAAGAACTCCAGAGAGGAAGAAAAGAAATTAGAAGCTTTAGTGATTAGTGATGGTTGGTGGGATCGAATAAGAAGTACCAGTTGAGGATGAGATTCAAGGCTTAGGAGTGGAACAAGAGCTTATCAACACAACATAATTGCAAATTGTAATAAGTCAGTGGTGGGTGAGGATCAACACAAAGGGTATGGGGGGTCCATTTGATGTTTGTATAGGTGAGGAGGTAGAGAATATCTTAAATGAAACTAAGTAGGTATCAGACAATTTAAGTGGTGAAAAAGAATGAATCGACGGAAAAGGAAAATGAGACATGACTCCAGAAGAAAGGTAGAAGAAATGATCTTGGACCTAGAAAAGAAACAATTGGAGGATGTGAACACTTTAATTGTGGGATAGAAGTTGAAGTGAATGTGAATCTTGGTACAGTAACTTGGAAGGTCAATTGACTTAGAAAAGGTGGGGAATATGGAAATGAAAGTAAGCAAGTCTTTGGGGATGCATTTCACATGGGGGGAGGAATTTTCTGGGAAAATATTTAAGAATTGGAAGAAAAATTTAGGATGCCCATGAATAAAAATGGTGTGGAATCTGTTGATAAAGAGGAAAAATAAAAAGGATCATGGTAGACTAAGATCAACTAGTAATGCAAGGGTCGCTAAGAATGGGTGTGGTGAGCTAGCTTCTGGTCAATTTTTTGATAAGAATACAATATTGGAATTAGAAAGGATCAATGCTCCAAGGAGGCACAAATGATTGAAAAGGGTCTTGATGCTGTTAGATGTTTTAGGAGTAAGAAAACCCACCATTCTATTTAGGTCTTGAAAGTTTTCGCATGACTAGATTTATATGGGGTAGGTCCTAGTGAGAAGGTGAATAAAGCAAAGAAGAGTTGTAAGAGGAGCAAAGAATTGCCCAATCAAGAATCTAATGTAATTTGAGATTGTTAGTGACACATTTTGGGAGATTCTCTAATTTGAAAGTCAATTGGATTTGGAGAAAGAGCTGTGTAGTGGGAGTAAATAGGCAGGAAGAAGATGTACTTTCTATGGTTAGATCTTTAAGCTGTGAGGTAAGTGGCTGGCCTATGATTTATTTGGACTTGCCTTTGGGGGAAAATCCTAGGTCAAAAAGCTATTGGTACCTAATTTTGGAAAGATTCACAAAAAGGCTAGCGGGGTGGAAGAGAAATTATATCTCACTAGGATGTAGAATTACTTTAATTAAGTCTACTTTGGCCAACCCACTGGTGTATTTCTTGTCCACCTTCAAACTACCTGTCAAGGTTGCAAATCAAATTGAAAATCCTATGAGAGATTTTCTTTGGGAACCGAGAGGCTTAGATCATCTATCATGTAATAGATCATATGCAAATTCATAATTTTTAATTTTTAAAATGATTATTCCATAATTATATTTTTATTCCTATAATTTTCTAATTAAAAATCTTTTTTTGGTATAAATATAGATTAGTAGATCTGATAGATTCAATTTAAGATTATATTCTTGAATATTTTGTAAACAATTTTTTTTTTATTTTCTAAATAATAAATATGATTTTATGTAATGTAAATTAATATATATATATATCATGTGCAAATTTATAAATTTATGTAATGTAAATTAATATGATTTTATTTTCTTCTCTTTCTCTTTGTTTTTCAATGCTTTACTTCAATCTGCTGTTGTGCCTATTTCTTTTCTTGATAAAGAAGTGTGGTGTACTCCTATTCCACCAAAGTTTAGGGATTTCTGCTAAGAAATGGTTCTCCAAAAGATTAATACTATGAACATGCTACAAAGAATAAGGCCAAATTGGTGCCTTTCCCCATATGTCTGTAGCCTTTGTTTCTTATATATGGAAATGGCTTATATATGGAAATGGCTCTCCTCTCTCTTTGGTTGTAGGTGGACTCCTCCCTCATGTGTGGTTAACCTTTTTTACTCTAGTTTCTTCCAACAACCAAAGAAGAGGGGTAGGGTGATGTGGAGAACAAGAAAAGTAGTTGTCCTATGGTCGGTTTGGGAGGAAAGAAATAAAGATTTTCCAAGGGCAAGAAAAATCCAAGGAAGCACTTGTCGAGGGCATTACCATCAAGATTGTATGACTGGAAGCTTTGCAACTTTTCAAGGACTTCACTTTTGTTGACTTAATTAGAGGTTAGAGTGCTACAGTTGTTTTCTCTTCATCATCTCCTATAGTTTAGGAGAGTTGGTCCCCACCTCTACATTTTAGGGTGAAATTGACCTTTGATGGAAGCTTTCTAGGTAACCTAGATCCTTTAGGAATTAGGGGTGTCTTCAGAGATGAGGAAGGAAGAGTTTTGGCCCTTTACTCGGGCCCAGTCGGGGTGGGAGATTCTTTAAGGACAGAAGTAAAGGCCTTACTCCAAGGTCTTAGGCTTGCAAAACAATGGGGAATGCAACAATTAGAAGTGGAAGGAGATTCCAATCTGGTAATAGGTTGGATGCAAGCAAAAAGCTTGTGAATGTGGTCCTTCAGACAATCGCTAAGAGAAATTATGAGCTTAGCAAGGGAGCTTGGGGTGCAGTTTAGATAGGCAAGAAGATCAGTGATAGAATGGCTAATACTTTAGTTAAGCAAGGAATCAATATGGAGGCTTTGTTTTGGGCTTGTTTGTAAGGCGGGTTATGGCTATGGACTCTCCATCCATTCTTTGGGTGGCGATAGTTGTATTCTTTATTTAATTTTGTCAATGAAAGTTATTGTTTCCTATCAAAAAAGAAATCTGATGCAACCGAGTTCTTGAGTAAATTTTGAGAGGAGTTTAATTGGAATTTTCTAATGTTGTTTTTATTGACTCTTCTGGTGGTTGGGGGCATAGAGTCTTCTTATGGCTTGAGTGGTGTTTGTTAGTGGGGTGTTGAGTTTCTTTCTTGTGGTTTTTGTTTTTTCTTGATTGTTAGGGTTTGGGTGGTAGCTGTTTTTTGGTTTGTGTCACTATGTTTGGAGATGTAAGATGGGTATGAGTTTTGGATTAAGGGGCTTTGTTCTGTTTTTATTGAGTGATTCCTTGTCACCTTTGTATTGCTTTTTCTTTCTTATTAATAAATTATTTATTTATTTATTATCGAAAAATAAAAGATCCATGGCCCACAAATATATGTTCTTCAGAATTCAGACTCCCAGCCGTAGTTAATTTCATTTCCTAAATGGTTATTTTCAAATGATAAAGTTACATTCTCCCGAAACGATGAATTAATCCAAAAGCAAGTCTAATGGCACAGATCTGTAAGGCGAACTATATGGTCAAGCAGATAGACATATAATCAGCATGCCACTCAAGTTCAAATTGAGGCAAGTCTTGACAATGAATCAAAAGAAGGTTCAAATATCCATAAATTTAATGATAGGAGGCGGAAAACAAACTACACATGAATTAAAGGTTTCAAGGACTATATGTTGAAGTAATCTCTATAGTCATCTAGTCAGAGATATGTAAAGTTGACTTGCTTAACAAGATCCACAGTAATTCTATTCAGGCATCACTCAACATTGTTAAGTCAAACACAAGCAGTCATAAAGCATTAATTTACTGTGGAGAACAGACAGGGGAGGGATGGAGCGTGGAGGTAAGGCTAGTTTTTGGGTCTTGCAGTAGGTGAATTTCATAGGGACTGTTGTATAAGAACTCTAAGAGCCATCTTCTATCAGCCAGTAATCAGTAGCCAAAGATTTAATTCATGTTCCAATTTTGCATAATTCTAAGATCTAATATGCAGCATAAAGGGTGTTGACATATTGTGAAATGTGAACGGTATAAAGAAAGGCAATAACTAAATTAAAATATAGAATAAAATAAGATAATGGGATAGACTTATGATTTACACAGATAATATTAGACAATACAATGCACATTAAGAACTAAGGCGTGCAAAAACTGAAGAAATAAAAGCGCTATAGTTTAAGAAACTGCAAACCGGAACTTCAGAGGTGCTAGCCTTCATTGAGGGGAAGACATAAGAAAGAAATAAAGTGTGGTGATGGAATGGAATCTTTTTCCCACTGTGGGTAATGAATGTATCTGAACTCAATTAAGGGAGCCAAATGGATATGAAACCCTTGATGCTCCTTATTTGACCCTTCTCATCGTTTTAATCATCCGAGCCTCTTGTATCTTGTGATTCTTATTCTTCTTGGTATCTTAATCCAATTCAGTACAAGATGAAATAGACAAAGCACACAAATGGGACTAGATGAGGATCTCTAGCCGATTTTAGATCATTCTTTACTCTTCTTCAGTACTCCCAGATCAAATCATTCTCATCAAAAGATGGGCGCAGGTATCGAAGGCCACCATGACCCTCCACGCTGCTTCGTCCGTCATCAATCATAATTTTCTTCCCCTTCTGAAAATGCCGAAATCCCAAGGCCACTGAATTGAGAGTCTGTGATGACAAGTTCTTCTAAAACAGGATCCAAATCGCTGTCATAGTCACTATCTTCGTCAGAATTTGTTAATGAAAACAGACCCTCTCCTCCTTCCGAGTATTCTTCTCTTTTCCTCACACTCCTGGGCAATAAATCTTCCTCCGATACCTCCCCATTCTCAACCTCAATCCATGGAACCCATAAATCAGCATGTCGACCCAACGCTCTGTCCCAATCACCAATAACAACGGTCCGCAAATTAGAGTCCTTGGCCCTCCTGAGCATTTCTGAGAAGTCTGAATCATCGGAAACCAAGAAGAGCCAATCGATACCACGGGTCATGGAATGCTGCATCTGCCGCTTAAGCGCCCAATCGGCAGCCTGAGGTTTATCCTCCACGGTCTTCACAAAAACCCCGGCACGCCGTAGCTCCGAAGCAAGACCATATCCAACCTTGGGGGTGAGCAAGGACCTAGCGGCGTCCTCGTACTTGTGGTTCCCAGAGATGAAACGCTCCTTGTAGCGCTGCCGCTTCTTGCCCTTGAGGGAACGCATTCGATTCAGCTTCTTCTGGCGCTCACGCTCGTGGAGCTGCTTGAAGTGCTTCTTGAGGTCGAGGTTGGTGCGGCACTTACGGCCACAGACGCCGCAGACGTAGGGCTCAGCCGGGGTGGAGAGGCCCTTTCGTTCTAGGGTGTCCGTTCGGCGGTGCTCGCGGCGCTCCTCGATTACCCATTGGGGGAGGTGGATAAAGGCATGGCGGTTGGCGTAGGCGGAGATGTCGACAACCTCACCGAAGCGCTGGGCGATCTCTCGCAAGGCTATGGCCGCCTGGTAAGGCGGACCGCGAGGAGGCTTGTTGTCAAGGTCCCATAAAACAACTACCTTCTTCTGCTTCGCAGTCCACACCCCTTGACGGTCCCTCACCATATCGACCTCTGTAGTTAAGACCCAGGCCGCTTGGTCGGCCGTGCTGGCTTCGAATCGCCATTGGCACCGCTTCGACTTGGATGGTGCTGCTGCATTTCGGAAGACGAGAGGTCCACTGGTGATGTTGAGTTTGAATTTGGGGGTTATCAAAGGGAAAGTGGCAGTAGATGTATTGGTAAGCTCAATTTTAAGAAGAATAGGAGGATAAGCTTTAAGAGGAAGAATATCAGTTGGGTTGCGGAGAGGACTAACCCTCATCGTCATTTCCACTCTCTCTCTCTCTCTCTCTCTCTGTGCTTGTGTGTTAGTGTTCACTATTGGTCCTGCTGGGGATTATCAGTTGACAGGCTTGCAGCTGCAGCGCAATGAGAGCGCGATCATTGCACAAAGTATTGTAGGGTCAAGTGTGGATAATTTGCTTCGACGGATTGAAGTTTATTCCCGGTGTTTTCCCTCTGTCCTTCATTCGACTGAAGATGTGGTCTCATCGGGATCAGGATAAGGAATATGACTTGTGGAGCCGAGAAGAGGACGTCGATACTCGGTAGACGCTTTCCCCGATCGTCTATGGACTATGGACCCTATTGGATTAGCCACGTGTCTACTGTATGATATCCGTCAGATTCTTGATTTCATATCCCACGTATAATTTCCTATTTACAATTCTTTAACCATTAAGGAAGGCCCTTTCCTATGCAGTTTGGACTCTATAAATAGAACCCATACATATACACATATACTATACATCCATCGGTTGAGAACAATCGTGACTAGGGAGAAGAATTTTTCTTGTGCTCTGTTTTCAAGTTTTGCAATTCAGCAAGAAGAAAAGCTTTCTCCAGTTCAGTTTCTTGTAAAGAAGAGTAAAAGAGAAAGTGGAAAATCCAAAGGAGGTGTTTTTGAAGGTCTCTAACACCAGAATAAAGCCATGAACGCCAGTTTTACCTCAATAGCTCAAGGTCGATGTTTACTTATTTCAATCCGTTTCTAGAGCTTAGAATGCTCGTTTGATACTTCTTTCATGTTTAGAAGTCATGTCTTTATCTATCACAGCCAGCTTCTTTAATTGGAAACCATTATGGAAGCTAAGATTTCAGCTGTTTACTTGGAAGATTTTGTAGGATGGTCTCCTCACGAAAAATAAATGCAAGAAGTAACTACCTCAGTCCGGCAGAGTCTGTTCTCACGAGCAGTATGGCTTGAAGCACAAGTCGGATTTAACCCAGAACAGGTCAATTCACAGCCCATTCATTTGATCCTCTCACAATGCTTTAATCAATTAAAACACTGGCTGTCCAAACGGGAAGCTCTCCATATATTTGGGAAGGGAATTATGCTGTTCTATTTCATATGGGAAGAAAGAAATAAAAATGCAATTACTTTAATTTTTTTAAATTTTGGAAAAAAATGGCAATGGCTTCAGTTTAGATGGTGAGCTCTACTAATTAAATGGTAAATTCACCAGCGGCGTGCAACGACATCTCAAACCCAACTATGATAACTATATTTCATTTGGTATTTTTGTTTTCATTAGGCCAGGTTGACTGACGAGTCATTTCTATTCTTCTTTTTTTAATCAATGTTTTCACTGGCAATGTATTGAGCTGCTGAGTTAAGGTTTAGGGGTTTGATTTCTGAATTTTGGGGGTGGAAGCCAACGAGACAATGCTTGTCCCATTAGTTTCACAAAAATGGACCTAAATCCATTTCCGGTTACAAATATAAACTGTGGACCCCATATTGCTTGATGGACATGGCAATGGTGAAATCATGAGTTCAGTCAGAACTACCATTTTGCCTAACTCTATTTTTCTGTTTCTATTGCAATCTCTCTCTAATGGCATTCTCTACAAACATTTAAAATCCTTTTTGTCATCTGCCCATATAGTCATCCGTACCCAAAACTTCTAGACCACTTTCTTTTTTATATTCACCTTCAAATATCAATAGCCCCAGATGACATAAATAGTACTAATCGAGGTTGTATCTACACATGTACCGATTATGGATTTAGGATTCTGTTTACCGTTGCTCTTGTTTAATCTCAAGGAAGAGTATCTTCATTTTAGAGGGGAATTTTGGAATTTCGAAATGTTTTGAATAATATATGACATTACATGCGTTAGATAACTGAGGTACTAAATTGGCAATTTTCAAAAGTTTAAGTATCATGGTGATACATTTTGAAGTTTGAATATTAAAATGAGACTATACTAATCTAGAATTTTCCCTAAAAATTATATGCTATACAGGTTTACCATATGAGTCTACATTGGACAGTGGGTGTATTGTGCCCTCTACCCTATATATCTCAATTATTTTAGAACATTAAAGAGAAAATCTTGCCCATTAATTTTTTATCTCATCAAGATTTTAAGCTAAAATAGTTTTAATGCCAGTTTGGAAGGGTTGAAGTGTAGCGGTTTCCAACTTTCTAAGGTCATCACCAAAGCGGATGATGTGGGGCATAATCATTGGTTCCACATCCCTCTACTAGTAGCCGGGTGGTTGTTGGTCATACATATTTCAACTTTAAAGAACGCAGATTTTCGAAGGAAAGGTCTCTAATCAGTTGTAGCCGAGACTTGGGATCGAATCCCACCTGTACCATGTTTTGGGAGGGTGTTATTGCGCTTGGGGAGATAGACTACCTAGAGGTGTAAAGTGGGTCATAGCAACTTGCACTGTAGCAGGTCATGCCAAGCTAGCACGCAGGCTCAGGTGGGCCATGCTTGCCTGACCCGGAACCCCTCAAAGGTTAGGCCAAAAAAGCCCGTGGCATGAGCTTAGACGGGCCCATACTAGGCTGGGCTGGGTCAATCTGTAGGTTGAGTCGGGGCAGCACACTTTTTTTAAAAGATTGAAAAAAAAAACAATGAAAAAGTTAAAACAATCTATATATATATATATATATGTTAAAACAAAGTGGTCAAGAAATTTTCTCATTTTTTTGAATTATTTATTTTTTTATTCCATATCATTTTCAAGACATCCAATGAGATGCACTTTCCAAATAACCTAAATAATCTCTTCTCCTAAAATTTCTCCTAAACAACCTCCCCCACTATCCCCTACTTTCTCCAAAATTATTTCTAATTCCTATTTATCTCCAAAGTTATCTCTAATTTAGTAGACAGTTTTTCTCCTAAATTATCTCTAATTCCTATTAATCCTCTCCCATACTTTTTATTTATATCTATCTAAAGAAATTTTAGATTAAAAAATTTAAGAACTATTTAAATATCCTAAAAAAATTATATAATAGTATAAATTATGATTTTATGGATAATTAAATTCAATAAATAATTCATATTTCAAAATTTAAATATTTTACATATTATTTAAGTATTTAAATAAATAAATATTTTACATATTATTTAAGTATTTAAATAAATAAATATTTTAAATAACAAAATATTTAACATAACTAGATTTTAAATAGTTAAAATAAAGAAATTATGTAATAAATTTAAAAAAATCCTGAAAATTAGAAAAATAATTATAACATAATATTGAAATTAATAACAATTTAATATTTTTACATAATATTGTAAATAACTAATTTCACTTATATCAAGTAATAATTCAATAAAATAACTTTCAAAAATAATATTTATTTATAATAATTTTAAACTCTTAATCTGTATTTATTATATAATTATATATAATAAAATTAATATTTATTGTATTTCAGTAATTATGTTTTTGTGATAAATGTATTTTCAATGATTATGTATAAATTTATTTTGTTTTGCTATTTAACTGAAAACTTTTAATAATTATTGGAGATTAAACTACTATTATTGAATGTTTTAAATTTAATTTATTGTACTTATTGTATTTATTATATTTTTGTTATAACTTATTGATTAATTTTTATTAGAGATTAAATTATTATTTGAGATTATACTATTTATTGACTAAGTTAATATATTTTTAGTAATTATTGTAATTATTATGTTTTTTTCATTATCAATATAGTTTCAATAACTGTGTATTTTCACTATAAATTTTCAATAACTATTGGAGATTAAACTATTCTTATTTATCAAAGATGAGACTATTAATTTAGCTGAAATTATGAGTGTTCATAAGTTGGTTCGGTTTGGTTGTAGGCTATTTGGCCGACCAAATTGACTTGATCAAGATGGGGAGTTGGTCAGCTGAAACCGATTGACCTTTTGTGAAATCTGACCCACTCATGTTGTATCGGTTTGGGTTGATTTTTTGGTTTAGTCAATCGGTTCAAAAGATTAAAAATTAAAAATTTAATTTAATTTTAGAAATTATAGTGCAATTATTAAAAAATTAGATTTATGATATAAAACATTTTAAACTAAGAAATATGGGAGATTTCTCACTTTTCCATATTAAAAATTATGTTTAAAATATAAATTATTAATATATATCCATGGTTAGGTCGTTCAATTTTGATCGGTTTACAAATGGCCAAAATGAAATTGATTCAACTTGGTCGAATTGGGAAATTTTTTAACCAAAGCCGACCTAAAATACTAGAAAATTGAGCAACTCAAGTCGAGCTGATTGGTTTGGTTGGTTTCATCAGTTGATGAATAAACCTAACTAAAATTAATTATTGTTATTTTTGCATTATAAAAAATTTATTAAAAGTAGTATATAAAATATTAATAATTATTAATTATTTAAAAAGTTGAAAATATAAAACAATTGTATACTCTTATGTGTTTCTATTAGGGTCATTTACTAGAACACACCTTTAGGGATGACAATTTTCCCCATCCCCGACAGGGATCCGACTTCCCCGACTCGATGGGGCCGGGGATGAGGATTATTTTGGCGGGGCGGGGGCGGGGACGAGGATTAATAGGAATTCCCATTCAGGGTTGAGGGTGGGGATTGAGGTCCCCGCCCGCCTCGACCCCGATTATGTATATATTAAATGTAATTTATATTAAATATACTATTATATTATTTATATTATATATATCACAACATATTTAAAACATTATTTATAATTTAATTTTTTTATTTATTTTAAATAAATTTATTTTAAAAATACTATTTTCTGAAAACATTTTGGGGATTCGAGTCACCATGGGGAACCCAGGGGTTAATTTCAAAATTGGGGTCGAGGACAGGGAATATGATCCCCACCCCGAACCCGCCCCATTGCCATTCCTACACACCTTATAGTTTTACATATTTACTTAAGCCTACCTTATAGTTTTCATTTTACTAAAACATCCCATATATTTTACAATTTATTTACTTAATCAACCTTTCATTAAGGAGTGTTTGTTTTGCCATTAGACCCATGATTTTTTATTCCAAAAATACCCTTAACACTTTTTTGTATAGAAAACAAAATTGACCAAATATAGCTAATAGAATGGTTGCCCGTGTCTTATTAAGGGCAAAAATGGTATTTTTTTTCTTTTGATTAAATTTATTTAAATGAACATTAGGGTCAACACTATCATTCTCCACTATCATCTAATGGAAGATTGATTAAATCCATTGCAAATTATAAGTGGTGTTTTAGTAAAATGCTAACTATATGGTAGATTTTAGTAAATCCATGAAACTATAAGAGGTATTTTAGTAAATGACCCTTTCTATTATTTAACTTTCGCTTAATAAATCCT